ACTCCATTTTGCTTTTAGTTTTCACGAAAAAAGTAATTTATTGAGACGAAAAATTTCACTTAAGTTATTTTACAATAAAATAGAGGCTTTAAAACGCGCTAAGGAACAATGTCCTGCGATTCTTAGAAGCCGAGATATTAATTTCTTAAAATCGACAAAATTTGCAGGTTTTAAAGTGTTCCCCTAATTTTTTTGCGTAGTGTCTATAATTATTTTTACATGAAAACCTCGAAAAGAAATCATAAGTAATCAATATAGAGGGCCACAAAATGCCATGCTATTGTGTAAATTTGCAGATTTTATAATTTAAAGATTAAGCGAACTTGAAAAGTGAAGTTTCGATCTTAATTATGTTATATCTCGTTCGGATGGGCAACTATGTAGTCACATCCTCGTGCTCGTGTTACCAACAGAGTTCACAGAAACCCCAAAGATGGCGCTCTCCAAGCCGGTGACATTCTCTGCCTCGGATCAGTAACGAAAGAACGGACGCCCTTGCTAAACAGGCGGCACTTGAAGGCAATCTTTTAGAGCAAGCTATCTATCTCTTATTCTAATGTCTGTAGTAAATATAAAGCTAAGTGTGTGGCGAAGAACAATATTATAAGGACCTTTTTTTCTTTCAATATTTCAAATATCAAGACTATGGTTTAGCAAACTTGACTTGTAGAAAGCTATTGTTATGATTAATCGGATACGCAGCGGGCATTGTTCACTTAAGTACAGTCTTATAAAATATAAGATAGTCAATAGCGATATCTGTTTTTGCGAACAAGATTCGGAAGACTTGGAATATGTTTTTTGGCAGCTGTAATTACAGTAGTATGACAAGGAACGCAAAAGTATGATCAAAAAATTTAATCAAAAAAGAATTAAAACTCCCTTTAATATAAAAGTAGTTTTCAAAAATCTGAAGCTAGATCTGCTGGAGATTGTTGTGGATTTTATAGTATTTTAATAGTATTCAAATTCAAATTTAAACTTAACTATAATATAAAGCAGTCAGTATTACTAAGTTAATAATGTACATATACTGTAAGGAAATCTTATCTACATAAGATAGTATGTAATTAAACATAGGTATTATTTCTTTATATGCGTGTAATTGTAGAGACTGAATCGTAATTTCTGAAGCAACATAATGTTAAAGCAACATCTATATTGACTCCCGTGTGGATAGTGTTGTGATTCAATGAGGATTTGTAAGATGACTGTATACGTCAGGTGATGCCAATAAACGGATTATAGTACTACTCTCCTCCAGGTTGGGCAATTTAGAGCTGCGAGTAATTTCTTGCGTATGTATAATATGTTTGTATAACATACGGTATTATACGGCATAAAAACTATGTATAATACGTTATGTTTAATACATGCCCAACCCTGTTCTCCGCTCCGGTGCCGCCGATCGCGCCATTGTTTCAAAGAATTGGAGCAAATCATCCCTCGGGAAGGAAGAAGACTAGAAACTTGAAGCGAGGGCGGTCCATCCAGATGAGATATAGTATAATTAAAATCGAACTTCACTTTTCAAAAACTTCACTTTTTGTTTAATCTATAAATTATGCCAATATCTCGTCCGGATGGACAACTATGTAGTTGTTTACAGCATGATTTGCGAATAAATACTTCAATTGTAGAATAACATAAGTAACATTCGTATAAGATAGCATGTTAAATGCTAAAGAACTAAATAATTCTGGAAACTTGAAGCACGCAATAAAGGAATACAAAATTTCTCTCTCTCTTTCTCTCTCTTTTCTTTTTTTTTCCCAAACCTCCAGTGCGCCTAAAGTCTCTAGTATAGAATAACTGCTAAGAACGGAGTTGCAGAATGCTTCTAAATTAACAACTATATGGTTGTAAAAATTTGCAAATACCTGGGAATCACCAGACCAGCCAGTCGCTCTCTTAATGAGGTTGAGTGAAACTCCTTTTCTGGCCGCAAGGGAAGTGGAAGTGTGACGGGTGCTGTGGGCTGAAAAGAAATCACTCCGCACCCCGCAGTCTTCCAGTCCCCCGCGGATCCATCATCCTACCAACAGGGCTCCTACTATTTTATGTGGTTTTCTGCATGAAATAAATAAGATATCGCAATCGGGAGGATGTAAGTTCTTGGTGCGCTAGAAGTAGTGGTCTAAAATATTGACAATACATATATCAATACAATACAGCGATCAGAAAAGCGAGAAAAGATAAATAACAGTTGACCCCGATCCGGAGCGGATGTTTTCAAATCATGGATCTTAATAACTATCTTGTTTTTGTTTTCACGAAAAATCTGCGAGATTCTAATAGCTGCAAGCGTTTGCGTACGCTGACTCGAGCCTAGGACTAGTTTCCTTGTGATGACCTCTAACGATAATAACCAATGTCTTCGCTTCTTGAGACAGAAATTCGAGGACCTTGCCTTCAGAAAGAAAGTTATTAGATGTTTCTGACAAAAATTCCACCAGGATTTAAGCGGACGAGTATATTGCTTTATTGTGGCTGGAGTTAGCGAGGCGATCATGATCTCTACCGCTGATGATGGGATGGACTGCAGTAAGAATGTTTACCTGTTAACTTCCCTATTACCAGGGAAAGATTTTTCCACTCTGGATGGTAAAATCTGCAAGGAAAAAATATGAGGGACTGAGAAGACGTGAAAAAAGATCCAAAATTAAGAGACAACGAGGAGAAACATAGGAAACCAAGGTTGCGATAGCCACTAGGGGATCACTAGAACTCCCGAGGTTTCGTCATCCCATGATTTACATAAAACTTTAGGAAGTAAAATGATTGGCGGGAAAGCATAAACATATCAAGAACGCTAATTCAAGGTAAAGTCGATCGCCTAAGAACCAAGGTTGGGAAACCAGGAAGCATAGATTTCTACCTTGATGTTAATTGACGACGTGAAGAGATTTGCCTCAAAGGATCTGCCTCAACGTATCTTTAATTCAATTAAACGTCCGAATGGATAAAGACCATGTCTGTATTTGAGATACATGATTCTACAATTTCATTGTCAACTGATGCGACGGATGCGAAAAGATAGATGTTCCGTTTCTCACATCATCTCCAAATATCTCTTGCGACGTCTGACAAGAAGGGATGTTGTACCGAATCAAATTTATTTATATAAGAGATGGCAGTAGTGTTATCAATTCGAAGGAGAATGTTAGAATTCCTGCGATCTCGAACAAAGCACATTAGGACAAAGAAGGCTTCCTTTAGTTCCAGTACATTGATATGAAGTCCTGTATGTCGGCCAACTATGCGTGTGTTGGCCCTCACAGATCGCTGTCCAACCTGTCAAGGTCGCGTCTGAGTAAATTTTGCATACAAAAGGCTCTGAACAGATGGGATTAAATTGATTGGTATCAGAGAATATCTTGAGCCACCAATCGAAGTCGTCCTGTAAATAAGACGAAATCATCTCTCTAGAATAGAGTCTCCCGAAGAGGAGAACTCAGGAGAAAAAACATTTTTCTCTCTTAAATCTTTTAGTATAAAGAGACACTGCTATATTGCACTGCTGGAAAACGATGACGACGATGACTTTTTTACATTAATTTTAATTACTTTTTTACATTTCAGATTCGTATTTTGCGTCGCAATATCTCCGCTTGTAGGGCATATAGAGAAAAAATAAAAACACGTACTATACAACCAGAGTGTATGCTATCGATTAAGCGTACATAGAATCGGTTCTGCCCTTATTGAGATATGATAATCTCAATCCCCTGCAATTCACCGGTTCGCGTAAAGTAACCACGGTAGTGTACGCCTTAGCGCCGAGACATTACCAATGCCTTCAGATATTAAAATTGTGTACCAACGTCAAATTCAGTATAGATATGTAACTATAACGTCAAATAATGAAACTATTCATAAACAGAAGTTTAACAGCACCGATTACTGTGTACCGCTTGATAATCAACTGTATCTTCGTTAATATTGGGAATTCATTATCGGAAAAAAAAATTTTATATTCTTAAGATCCTAAACTATCGATTTAAGCAAACAAAATTTCGATTTTTTAAAATTTCAGAGTGGAATAATCCCTTGAAGTTTTGCTATAAATATGTAGCAAAACTTTAATAAACCAAGCTAAACACTACACTTAAATTATAGGACTCTTCTCTGCAGACAGTCGACAAATGTCGCTATCGCAAAAAGACATACTGCTCTGTAGAAAACATACAGAACATTTGCGACGTCTATTTTATCATGAAGTTAGACTATATTCTTAGTTTGAGAAGATATTCTGTCAGAGATTTCTATTCAGAAAAAAAAAATATTGATTAAGAATACGTGTTATGAAAATTTATAAAATACATAAGCTTCTTACTTTGAAAATACAATTTTTAAATGTTCTCTGTTCTATATTTCTATATTTCTCTGTTCTATATTCTCCATTATTTGATCAATTTATTGAATGCTTATTTTCGTGAAACAAACATAACTTAATATGGTATAAATGGTAACACTTAACAATATATAATGTACCCATATATGTACACACACGCACACTCACACGCACACGCACGCGCGCGCATTGCGTGGTAAAGAAAAATAAAACAATGATATCAGAACGATGTATCAGCCATTTAACAACTTCCGTATTTGAGCATTATTCATGTAACATTCAAGACATTTTTAGACGCACGCTCATCATTTTCTCGTTTTGACCTCGAAATAAAAAGATAAAGAAATGTTGAAACGCGCAATAAAAATGATCTTTATCAACGAGAGAAGGGAAATAAATTATCATGTAATATTATTTCATAGCATGACATTATTCTCAACGAATTTTTTATGTATAATATTTAATATTAATATAGGAAAAAGTAAATAATTTGAATTTTCGCGACATATTATTTTTATGGTCTGTATATTTAAAACAAAAAAACAAAAAATAATTTAATTGCGGCTAAGAATTTTTTTATATGAATTAAGCAATTTATTATGTAAGAATTTATTTATTTGTGTTCTTTACTATTAAATTATTATAGATGATTCAAAGCAGTATGCAACAATCGTCGGACGGTCTCAATCTGGACACTAATGGATATCAGCAACAGCTCTATTTACAGCAAGAGCATTCGATGCAACCGATCAATGTCAGGTGAGTACGAATTTTATTCTTGAGTTATTGTTAATGTCCAATGATACAAATTAAATGCTTTTGTACATAAAATTCACTTTTCAATTGTCTATCTAAACAAGTACAATATCGTGAATTGATTAATAGAGAATGTAAAAAGTGGAAAGAACTTGCTTTCAAATTCTAGTTCGTGACTTTGTAAATTAGGCGAGATGAAGAATATCAATACTATAGTAGTTGAAAGAAACTTTGTAGAGTGAAAGAGAGAGAAGTAGGGAGAGTGAAAGAGAGAATAAATAAATAAATGAATCTTTATTTAGTTTTTTTTAACTATTTATAAAATAAAAATATAACACTTATAAATAATCAGTAAATCTAAATTACTGAATTAATCTAAATTTTATAAATTTAATGGATCAATTTTCAGAATCGTAAGACTTGTAATGCGTTCTCGCAAAACTTAGAAGAATTTGTGACTAATATTCTAATTTTATATATAAAAAGCTGTCTGAAAATATTATAAAAATATTATAAAAATATAAGCACTTACAAATTTTTACAAGTTTTACAAGAATACGAGTCTTACGATTCTGCTTAGAATGTAGACATTAGTAACATTTATTAATGTGTAAGGAAAGGCACTTATTATGAGATACCGAGTTCATTTTGGATAATGCTAGAAATTTATGGGCAGAATTTAAAAAAATAATAGATCATTTTGAAAGGAATTTAATAAGCTTTAAGATAATGTTATGTAAAACACTTAATTCACATTCTATTTTTTTTTAATTAAAAAAATGTTAAAAGTGAGTGAAATCGCAAAGACAAAAAATTGTGCTCCTAATACGAGATGCTCCGAAAAATCAATAATAAAACGTAAAATACATCAATATTGCAATTAAAAAACTTTATTTAATGTTTCTGAAATACAAACAAACACAGCCAGTGCGCACACAAAATGAGCATACGATGCATTGTACCTAAGATTCATCTTCAGGTAGTTAGAAACAAGCATCGCAGAAATAGGCACTTGGTATTCATTCCAGTTGCCCTTTTTATTATTGTACAATAATATCTATATTTTAGCATGATTTTCACTATGACTGCTCAGCCCCGAAATAGGCAGAGATGGTGAATTATTTGGAGTGAAAATATATCAGAGAGAGAGAATATAAGAATTGTAATCTCCTTAATAATAAAAGAATAACAGACGTTTTTGATCTTTTAGGAGTACATTAGACAAACAATCACATCGCAATATATAATAGCGATTATTCGTATTTCAGTAGTATAAGATCGCTAGAATCGGAAATCATTGAATCGCGTAACACAAATAACAGGAAGAACGCGGACATGCTATTATCGCGAGAGTTGCAACAATTTCGCCAATCGAATATTACAATTAATTAAGATTTTTCTGTAAAACGTTATAAATAATATTGTATAAATAATATCCATACTTTACATGGAACCCGAGTGGTCTCGTCAACGCAGAAATAAGGAAAGTCATGACTCAAAACTGATGCGTATTGTATAATATGGCGATTTAACATACAATTATGTTTAAAACGAAACACGGCGACAAGATTGTGGCAAGAGGGTGGCGAACATTACGTGAAAATACGGTAATTTAGGTGATACGAGTAAATGGCATGCAACATCCAAAAGATTAATTATTTACGATAGCTCCTTATACGAGCTATAGCCTCTCGACTCGAATTCACGCGCACGCACGCACGCACACTATATATATATATCCGGGAAAAATTATTTATATACATATAATTATATACGAAATATACATACAATCTAAAGCCTTCTTCTTTTGTAAAGTTATTGTTTAGTATAAAAAAAAAATAATTCACCCGAAGACAGATTTATTTAAAAATAATTCAAATTTTTTACTATTCTATATGTAAAATCCATTTCAGAAAGTTTTATGCTGATTGCATTTAACATCAATTTAAAGACAGCTTATTCAATACCGAATACTTTTAAAAAATTTATACAAAAAGATAAGGACCAATTAGATCTTTCCCGCAATAGTGTGTGGTCTACAAAATTAAATGTGTAGATTGTGAGGCGAGTTTCGTTGGCTAGACTAAAAGGAGGCTACAAACAAGAATACGTAAACATCAATCTGATATTAACAAAAAAACTGAGTCTCCTTCAGTAATTTCTGACCATCTTTAACCATAATTTCAAGTGGAATGAAGTTGAAATTTTGGATAATGACCCTTTTTATAAAAAAAAGAATAATATCAGAGATGATCCACATTAAAAAACAAGGTATAAATAAACAGATAGATACTGAACCTCTCCCTGATGTATGTCTATCACTTATTCCATCCTTACCCACTTTGTGAAGTTTTTTCTTATTAGATTCTTATTAGATCTTATACATTTGCATTTCACAATTATTTATTGTAATTTTGATGAACGAATATTATTAACTGTAGGCATTTATTCATTCATTATTTATTGAACAAAAACCAAATTATATTTAATAGGGCTCTCGAAATTCAAACAATAATAAATATTAATTAACGATCAATGAGGGTATATACAGCGCGGTACTTGGAGCGCAATATATATAAAATACAATATATTTACTATAATTTTACATTACTGTACTTGTTGATGAATGAACATTTCTTAACAAGATTATTGCACTCCAAGTACCGCGCTGCATATGCTCTTATTGCCCGCTAATTAATATTTATTATTATTTATTGAATTTTGTGACTCAATTTTTTCTTATAAAACGAATTAATTTGTGACAATTTCATAATATTATATTGTATTTCCACAATTATATTTTACAACTTTTAGTCTATGTGAATACATATGTTTGATTAATAATTATAAGAGGAAATATAAAGCGATTTTATAGTTTTATTACATGTAACTCATCTATATTATCCGGTTCTATGATTTGAGAAGAATTTTGCTAAAGAGATGACTATATTGAATGTGACTAACATCTACAAGTTTCTGATGACTGCTTTCGAAAACTGGGTCTTTTTGCAGCGCTTTATTCTGTTAATTATCTAACATGCGAGTATTATTTGCATTTACTTGAACAACTTGCGAGCATCTTTGCACCATTACTAATAGTTACTAGTAACAATTTATTCTAATTACAACAAGTTATTCTAATATTAAAAATGACCCGATAAGGCTCGAAACGTTTGATTTAATTCTGTTACATTTAATTTGACTATTTATTGTTTATTTTTAATTGTTCAAAAAGTCATTTACACAAAACAGTCCAGTGTAGTTCGTAGCCTCTTTTTATATTATTTAATTTTTTAGAAAAATAATAATCACTAAAAAATATATATAATCATTAAGAGAAAATAAAAAATCATTAAAAGAATAATTTTTGCATTGTTTCTTTAAAAAAAAAGTTTGGAGAAATTAAAAAAATCGTTTCTATATATAATTATACATAAATCACTAGATATAATTAATTATATATATTATTTATATTAGATGCGCAACTTAATTCTCGGTCCCTAACTTCAGTCGATGAGTACCTATTCAAATTTACATATCTTTCCCGCCATATAGTCATATTGGAGCGCCATTTTTAAGCTTTCATACTGTAATCGTTGGCGATTGTATTGTCTAACTTAAAAAAAAAAATGTTAAAAGCAATGTCGTTCGAGAAGTAGCATTTAAGGCATTGCCTCCTTTTCACTTTTCAATTAAAAAAAGTGTCGTTGAAGCACAGGAAATGATTTGTTCGGCTTTGGAAGATGCTGTTTTTTACAGTACCTGTAAGAAGTAGTTCCAACGGTAGAGTGGAAATTTCGACCTTAATGATGAAAAACGTCCGGGACAGCTAAAGAAAGTCAACGATGAGGAACTGGAATAATTTTTGGACGACAACAGTTCCTGTCGCACATAGTCAAAATTCGCACAGAAACTCGGAGTAACACGGCAAGTTATTTCTAAGCTGGGGAGAATTTAAAAGAAAGGTCATTGGCCCCTTCCAACTCACAGCTGAGAACAAGCGCTATGATATTGCTGTGTCATTGCTATCCCGATTCAAAAAGAAGGATTTTCTGCACAAGATTGTGACCTGCGACGAAAAATTCTCTACGATAATCTAAAGAGACGAAAATTGTGGGTTTATCCGGAACAGCCTTCGACTAGGATCGCAAAATCGAATCCACATCAACAAGATGTTGCTGTGTGTATGGTAGGATCAGCAGGGCGTCATTTATTACGAATTGCTCCAATCTGGTGAAATAGTCATTGCTCAGCATTATCAGTAGCAAGTGGTTCGTGTTAGTGACGCTTTGGAGGAGAAAAGGTCTTACATCGGCAAAAGAAAAAGGAAGGTCATTCTGCTTGAGGATAACGCGCGGTCACACACAACAAAAACGACTTTGAAAACAATCATCGACTTGGGCTGGAAATTTTATCTCACCCGGCGTATTCTCCAGACTTCGCCTCTTCAGATTATCATTTTAAATCCCTGCAATATCATCTGACTCATTTCATTTATGTCAAGGATGTCAAGGATGTCGAGAAAAGTATGGTCGAATTAATAAATTCAAAACAACCCTCTTTCCGAAGTGGAATTCGATAGCTTCCCGAAAGATGGTGCAAATGTATAGAAAGCAAGAGAGATTATTTTGAAGATTAGATAACTATTCGACTTTTTGTAAATTAGTATCAAAGTTCAATGAAAAAGATCAAGAATTAAGTTGGGCATTTAATATATGTTAATGTATGAAAAATTTGATAAATATACACAAAAGGTCAGCACCTTCAAAAATCAATGACTCTGACATATGTTATTAAGGTCATAACTGAGCTCCAAAAAGTTTTAGCCGTCGCTTGTTATTCGTTAAAAAGTTATAAATTAAAAAAGTTTCAAAAATAATATGTCTCTTTTTTAGTATAAAAACAGGAATTTTTGGTTTTAAAATATATTTTATGACTTTCCACGCGAAACGATTCCCATCCCACTGCCCTTCTTGCCAAGGGGCGCACGATTTTCACGCGAA